TCCAATGACCTCCCCACAAGATGCTTAGGAATTACAAATGAATAAATTGTAATTTCACTGTGGAAAATCCTGGCATGCACCACTTTACCAAGTGGTCAAAGTTAACATCGTCACTCCTGAGACACTGAAATTGTGTATCTCCATATGACCCCCTGAGGAGGACACAATGTCACTTCCATGGTGGGCCTGCCTGAGTGCATGTCCTCCATCTAATTATGAAGAGGCATCAGACCAAAATTCAGGGTCACTCTACAGCTCTCTTCAAAACTGTCTGGGTGATGAGAGACGAAGTAAGACTGAGGAACTGTCATGGAATGGAGAGATTAAGGAGATGTAGCCACCAAATGCAATGTGATATTCTGCTTTAGATCCTGGACCAAAGAAAGGACATAAGTAGGACAGTTAAAAATTTCAAGCCCCAGTTAAATATTTTACCCTTTGTTCTCCCTGCATGATCTACAATAATAATCTGCTTCATGTTGATATTTACTGCTGTGTTGCTAACAATTATCTGAAAGAGAAGTTGGGGTGCTTCACTGGATTGGAAAAAGTTTAGCTAAGTCAGAAAGCAGGTCTAATTAAGCAAGTTTATCTATACATCTAAAGCTCTCGCTGGTGCCAATCACAGGCGTGTTTTGATCTGTCATTGTCGATTGTGAATTTGGTTGACACTTCTATTATAGAGAAAGGGCGAAAAGCAATATTAAAATATTTCTTCTAATTAATTTCCTTTCCATGTGCATGAATTCATGCACCTGGCCACTAGTTTTGAAATAAAAAAAGTTAAAAAGGGGGGTAAGGCTATGAGGAAAGAGCCCAGGTTCTAGAACTTGGCCATTCCCCATGGTGGAACCAGGACTCTGTGACTTTTGTTGGGCAGCTCCCTGGACCTTATTCTTCCTATTGGTATCTGGCGTTTGGACTAGAGACTGAGAGGCCCTCCCACTTGGAAGGTCCCTCCTCGCCATCCCAGGTTTGGCCTCCACTCTGTGTGGCCTGTAGGTCCTTGTGCACCTCTCTGGGAACAGGCACTTTCATCATGCCTGTCTGAGGAAGGCAGAGAAAGGGAGTCAAGAAGGAAAAACTCAGTGTGTGAGGTTGGCTGGTGTGCAGCAGGGCCGGTCAGGATTGGGGTGGATCTGTGAAGGGCAGGATGATTGACAGGAGAGCAATGGGGTGCCCTGGGCCTACCTGGCCAGGCTCATTCCTGGAACTCCCTGCTTTTGGAATGCCCTAATCCTAACTCTAACCCAAACCCTAACCCTAACCCTGGAGCCTTGACTGACTTCCTCTGACTGGAACCTGCCATCAAATTCAAACTCTGGTGGGGAGTCTCATGAGCAAGATGGACCAGAGTGTCAGCTTCCCTAAAGACAAAGATGCCAGCAAGGGAGAGACGGGGGAAGGTGCTGCCATATTTGAATCTCCTTCCCATATGATACAGGACACCAAGCCAGGGTTTTGTGTTTTTTTTAAAAAAAATATATTTTATTGATTTTTCTACAGAGAGGAAGGGAGAGGGATAGAGTTAGAAACATCGATCAGCTGCCTCCTGCACACTCCCTACTGGGGATGTGCCTGCAACCAAGGTACATGCCCTTGACCAGAATTGAACCTGGGACCCTTGAGTCTGCAGGCTGACGCTCTATATACTGAGCCAAACCGTTTAGGGCCCAAGCCATGGTTTTTATTCAGGAATCGCTTATCAAGCTGCTAGTTCTATCCAAGACTTTGAAGGACAGATAGAATCTGGGCAGGAAGTAACTCTGCAGAAAGGGCGAGCTCAGTGGATAAAACAGCAATCCCGGAGGGGGAAGGATGCCAGCTAGGACAATTCTACACAATATCCAGTCAGTGTCCATGGTTCCTCAAGCACACTGAGGGAAGAGCTACACCTTGTAGGGCATCCTGACCCGGGAGGAAGGATAGTTCTGGAGGAAGGCCTGACCGGACCCTCTGCATCCGTTCTTTTGTGACAATGCACCACAGACAAGCCCCCTGTGGTGGCAGGAGGCACTCCCAGGAATACAAACTCTGTGTGTGTGTGTGTGTGTGTGTGTGTGTGTGTGTACGTGTGTACGTGCACACACACAGGAGGAGGGTAAGGACAAACACATGAGGTCACACTGGTCAGGCCCACACAGTACCAGGGCCTCTAGGATCAGACATCCTGTTAGACATCATCTAGTGGCCAGCTGCACAGTTGCAGCTGAGACCAAAGCCCTGAAGATCAGCATACAGGGAGAAAGCACCACTCTCCAGCCTCTTTGTCCCCCAAACCCACTGCTAAGCAGGCCCTGGGATGAGCCTTGAGTTGAGCGGATAGGTCACCTGGGGCCTGTATAACCCAGGGATCCCTCTCACAGGCCATGGCTCCTCCATCCCTTGTGCCCAGTTTGGAAACTGCTGGGGATCTTCCAAAGAGGTGTGGTTGGAGTCACATTTTTTCCCAAAATAATTAGACTGTTTTTGCGGGGGGGAGGGGGTGACGTGGGGCGGGCAGCAAGGGTGGATACTCCTTCCTGGGGGAGGGTGGTGACCCGTCATCTGAGCTTGACTTGTTTTCAGTGAGAACAGTTCGTGGCTGTGTGGTGAGGTGGGGCTCAGGATGTGTAAAGGAGGATGTATAAAGGATGTTGCCTAGAGAGGGGAAGAGCTCGGGAAGAGGAACACTCCCTCTGCGCTTCCCTGAGGAAGGACCCGGCGCTGCTGCTCTCCTCCTGTGCACTGGGTGTACATCCCCGGGCAGGTGGGTTTGGCTCTGGTATGCTATTGCCCCTTTCAGAGCGGGTGGGCCCTGCCCAGGCATTAGAGAGAGACTGGATCCAGTGGCCTGGTGCTTGGGGGAATGTGTGGGGTGAGGGAGGTGCTGATGGGTCACTGTGGAGCTTTCTCTTTAGAGTGTAGTCTGGGGAGTGTAGTCTTCTGGCCCCTTCCTTGGTTGACTCCAGTTCTGAGAATCTGCTTTGTGGATTCTGAAAATCCCTGATAGTTGGCTAGGAGCCTTCAGGCACTTCCCTTCCTCTCTGGGCCTCAGTTTCCCCAGCTGTACTATGATGGGGGCAGATGAGATGGTCTTGAAGGGTCCCTCCCTCCCAGGGCGGAGGTTCCCCAGCTCTGTTTTCTTTTACACACGTCCACATTCGCTCCTTGTGCTCCCCATCCTCTCATGACCGTCCCCTCCAAGTTCTCAGCCCCTCCTTCTGCCCCAAACAGTCCCAGGATTCCCCCTTATCCATCCCGTACAGAGCCAAGTGTCATTTTAGGGCCTGGAAGGGAACCAATAGTTATGGGCCATGCACTCATTTAATTATTATAAAAGTTCACCAAAGGAGGCATTTTATAGGTGAGAAAACTAAGGTTAAGAGAGGCTAAGTAATTTTCCCAGGGTTACTCAGCTACTAAGACGTGGACCAATCTGTCCTTCCATGCTGGCCCATGCTGAGTGTACCACCCTCCCTGGGGGTGTGGGTTGTGTTTCATTTTGAACCAGCATAATGCTGAAATACACATCCAAGGAGCCCTAGTGGTAGAATTTCAGGCAATAGTGACAGCGAAAAGAAAAGAAAAGAAAACAGTTGGGGAAAGATAAGAAAATGTTTCTTCTACTGCAGCAGCTCCCTGAACAGTCGGGCTCTAAAACTGCTTAGGTTTCATTAACTGAAATAAGCTTTGGGAGGAGGGGTTGCCTGTGATTTATCAACGTCACAAACATTTCCTGATAGGAACCAGGAAAACAGGGAGCAATGTGGGGTCCCAGGGACCACGGGGAACAGGCGGGGCTCACATCTCCCAGGGAGCGGGAGACGCCATGTCAGTCAGGAGGAGTTGGGGCAGGGCTACCCTGCTGGAGACCAGACAAGGCCACTGTCTTCCAGCTAGACTCTGTGATTCTACAAATCTGGGGAGGTTGGTGCAGCAGAAAACCGATGAGATATACCGAAACGTTCCCAAGGTTATTCCGGAATGGGGGGGAGACGGAGTGTAAGATTATGGGGCATATTTTTTTCTTGTATTTGCATATTTTATAATGAGCCTATATTACTATTGTAATCAGGAAAGATACATGGTAAAAAGGAAAGAGAGTGTGGGGTCAGTGGTCCAGGACTCAGTCAGTGGTCGGGGTTAGAGTCAGCTCTGCTAGCTTGCAGCGTACCACTCCCTCACCCCCACTTCTTGTGAAACCAGGGAGGTGACACCGTGCAGCCTCTTCACAAAGGAGCCAGGAAGACTTGTGAGGATTGGAATATAAGAGCCTCAGGAAGTACTGAGCCCCAGGTAAATGCCGGGACGGGGTACTGCTGTTTTCATTGTGTTTTTTATATCGTATTGAATCCAAATGCAGCCATTCCCATGGTGGACCATGCAGAGGTCAGCCGGCCTCCTGAGAGTCTGACGAGAGAGCTCAGCTCCCAGGGTCTGTGGTCAGGACTCCGACTCTGGAGCCGATGGCAGGGACTTGCCAGCTAGTCTTGACGTCCACTTGCTGTGTGTCTTGGGCAAATTACTCCCCCTCTCTGAGCCTCATTTCTTCATTTGCAAAATAGGAATAATAATAACCATGCTTGTCCCATAAGGTTGTTGGGAGCAGTAAGTGCATTAATATAGAGAGAGCCTGGCTGAGGGGACCACAGCTGCCTGCTATCTTCTTTGCGAGGGAATGTAACTTGAGTGTTTAAGAGCTTGGACTCTGCCTTTCATTTCCTGGCTCTGCTACTCACTTGCTCTGTGACATTGGGCCAGTTCCCTGCCCTCTCTGTGCCTGTGTCCTCAGCTGTAAAACTGAGGTAATAATAGTACTTAACTTCCATAATGTAAGTGAGAGGCTAGGTGAGTCAATATCCAGCGTCCCACACAGGATTCCATGGTGTTAGCTGTTATAATAATTGTATCAGACTTAATCCTCATGAATTCCTTGGCTGTGTTTATTTTATGGGTGAGAAAACAGGCTCCTGGAAGTCAAGGGCTCCAGGGTGGAAGTCTGACTTTATCTTCTATTTGTGAGCTCTCTCCCTGCGGGTCATTCCCGGGCTCTGGACTCCTTCCTTCATATCTTCCTCCTGTGGCTGTCCGTCCTCTTTCCTGTTTTTCTATTCCCACACCATCAGCCTGAGCGATAGCAGCCTGGTCTCCCATCGCTTCTCCATCTCTAGTCCCCATCCTTCACCCCTATTTTTGAATGAGCATCACAGACTCCGGGCCTGGTTTCAAATCCCAGCTCTGCTACTTACTTCCCCAGCTGTGTGGCCTTGGGGAAGTTCCTTAGCCTCTCTGCAACTCAGGTTCCTCCCATGTAAAGTAGAGGTGATAATAGTACTGCCTCCAAGTGGTTTTGCCAGGGTGAAATGAAGTGGTGCATGTCAGGTTCTGAGAACACAGCCTGGCCCACAGGAAGTGCCGTGAAAGTGGTGGGTATTACCGTTGTTGTTTGTTGTTGTTGCTGTGGACACAGTAGAATTAATAGCTGCTGTTTTCCCGATCCCAGAAGAGATCCCAGTTCCCCCAGAGGCAGGTTTTCTGCCACGTGCCCCAACCCCAGAGCGCTTTCCGCAGCCAGAAGCGGTGGTCAGGGTGTGAGTTACTTGGTTAGCCGCAGCGGGGTGGGCATGCAGGGTGGCAATGCCAGGGTTACGGGCAGGGGGTGCCCATGCCAAGCGTAGCCAGGAGGTGTCTAGTTGGACCTCCATTCTACCCCAGTCCTTCTGAAGCAGCGAGGGGAGCCTCAGGGGTGTTGGGGTGGCCGCCGGGCACGTTCCGTGACACTGGTCCGGGCAAGCGGCTGAACATGACTCAAGTGGAAATAGTGGGGCCTGTGGGCGGGTCACGCTGCATGGTCACGGGCTCCCAAGCTGCGAGGGCAGAGTTGGCTCGGGCTGAGAGAACAGCTTTCAGAAGGTTTTTGGCTCAGCTGTGTCCAGGGTGTGAGTGGGGGAGCAGAGAGCCAGGTAAGGGAAAATGAGGCAAGAGAAGGGTGGGAGTCAGGTGACGGTGCTCATTAATGCCAGCCCCTGGGCAAATGCCAGTCTGTCACAGGAGGCGAGGGGGTCCTGCTTCCAGGAGGTGGATTCTGAGGCTGACAGGTGACCTGTGAGTGCTGGGCTGGGGTGAGTCGGGGGGTGGGTGGGTGGGTGGAGGGAGTGTGGCAGGGATGAGGGGAGGGAGAGGAGGCTGGGGCAGGGGTTGCACCAGGTCAGTGGCCCCCACAGACTTCTGGGAAGGGAGGGTTTAGGTTACATTTGAAAGGATAAGAGTTTTAAATTGTAAGGAAGCCAGCAAAAATGACTGTCCACTGAAGTGATCTCCAGTGTTTTTCTTGGTTTTATATTTTGAAAGCTGGCATGGCCTCTTGGGGTCACGTCCGATGCTGTTTATTTGTTCTCTGGTCTCATGCACTGTGGCCAGCACGCTCAGCGTGGATGTCTGTGACGGAGAGGAGACCTACACGTGACCCTGTCCTCAAGAGCTCTTGACTCAGGCGGTGGCAGCTGTGGCACAGATGTGGAAGGTGGAAGAGGGAAGAGGTGGGAGACAGGCAGGGAGGCAGACAGCGAGACAGTCAGGGTTTGGTCAGGCTCCATGGGGCCCTGAGAAGGGTTGTACCAGTAAAGGTTTAACGATCAGCTCCCTTGTGGTGGTGGGGTAGGGGGCACACGCAGGAGAGGGGGGAGCTCCCATCTGTAGCACTTGCCATGGTGTAGACATTCCTACCAGGACCAATTGCCAGCTACCAGCTTCACTGAGTGCAGATTGGTTAACTCCGTGACTGTGTGTGGAATGCCTCCCGGACACCACAGAGCTGGCTCCGGGTCGCGACTGACTTTGAATCTTCTCTGCCACTCATTGCTGAGGCCAGAAGTCCCACGGCCAGAGGCTCATCCTTCAAATCCAAGTTTGGTCCGTGTGGAAAGGGGAGCTGGGGAGAAAGAGCCACCAGATCTACTTGTGTCCTTCGGGTCATCCAATCCTGGCTCCGTCATCTACTAATGCAAGGCCATGGACAACTGGGCTTCACCTCTCCAAGCCTCAAGTTTCCTCATCTGGAAAATGGGGGCCATAATAGTACCGCTTCCCAGAACTCTGGTGAGGATTACCTGAGGAGCTGCATGGAAGGAGCTAGCATGGCTGCCTTCCTGTTCTGGTGGATGGAGCACCATCCTCTCGCTCATCGCCTCACCTGAGGCTCCTCTGAGAGGCCTTGAGGTCCACAGGAGGAGACCTGCTCTCCAGCCAGGGATTCTTGCAATGTCAGAGCTGGAGCCAGCCCAGCAGCAGCCTCAGGAAATCACCAAGAGGATGACATCATTGCCCCAGAGATAAGCTATGGTTTGCCTCTGTGCCCTTGGCTTCACTGCAGGGGAAGCTCGGCTGACCTTGTCCTTGCTATCCTCTTTTTTTTTTTTTTTTTTTTTAATATATTTCACTGAGTTTTTACAGAGAGGAAGGGCGAGGCAGAGAGTCAGAAACATCGATGAGAAACATCGATCAGTCGCCTCCTGCACACCCCCTATTGGGGATGGGCTCACAACCACAGTACATGCCCTTGACTGGAATTGAACCTGGAACTTTTCAGTCCGCAGGCCAACGCTCTATCCACTGAGCCAAACTGGTCAGGGCGGGATACTCTTTTTAAAAGCCTCCCTCTCTCGCCTGTGTAGAGTTCTCTGGATTCCCCTCAAGTCCCACTACAGAGCTTCATTCGGGATTGCCTTCCTACCCGCTGTCATATGAGGATGTGAATAACTGACACCCCCCACGCCCCATTCGTTCCTCTTCAAGTGCTGCTGGATAAACGGAATGAATTCAGGCAACAAGGAAACGTGAAAGCAAAAGGGGAAAAACCAGAACGGGGCTAGAGGGACAGTTAGGGGTGGGGTAACAGAGATCCGAAGGGCAGCCAGGAGCCAGGGGTTCATGGCTCAGTCCAGCCACTGACTGCTCATTGTATGCTTTGCACAAGTCACTCCCCTCCTTTGAGCCTCAGTTTCCCCACCTATAAGTTGAAGGAGGTGGACAGGGTGCACTCTTACTCCCTCAGTCTGAGATTCGGAGGGCACCAAAGGTCACAGGAAGTATATCACCTACTGCCACTGCACCAAAACCCACAAAATCAGTGGCTTGAAACAGCACAATATTATCATTCTCATGTTCTGGAGGTCAGAAGTCTAAAATGGGGCAACAGCCCTAACTGGTTTGGCTCAGTGGATAGAGCGTCAGCCTATGGACTGAATGAAGGGTTCCAGGTTCAATCCCGGTCAAGGGCATGTACCTTGGTTGCGGGCATATCCCCAGTAGAGGGTGTGTAGGAGGCAGCTGATCGATGGCTCTCTCATCGATGTTTCTAACTCTCTATCCCTCTCCCTTCCTCTCTGTAAAAAAATCAATAAAATATATTAAAAATAAAATAAAATGGGGCAACAAAGAGAAAGAAAAAAGAAAAGATAATAATCAAATGGCTGGTGTGGGCCGAGCTACTGCCCCAGTGTGGGATGTGCAGGAGGCGGCTGATCGATGTTTCTCTCTCATCGATGTTTCTAACTCTCACTCTCTATCCCTCTCCCTTCCTCTCTGTGGAAAATCAATAAAATATATTTTTAAAAAAATAATAATAAAATAGGTCAACAGGGCCGCATTCCTCGGAGGCCCCGGGGACAGTCTGTGCGCTGTCTCTTCCAGCTCCCAGGGAACGCCTGCCCTCATTCTAACTGCATCCCTCTCGCTTCGTTTTCCCTTGTCACCTCTTCTCTGGCTCAGCGCTCCTGCCTCCTGATGCGGACCCTGTGATTACCCTGGATAACCTAGGACCCTCTCCCCATCTCAAGGTCCTTAACTTAATCACCTCTGGGAAACCTCTTTTGCTGTAGAAGGTGACATAGTCACAGGTTGCAGGGGTCAGGAGGTGGGTATCGTTGGGAGGCCGTTACCTGCTGACCAAAGGGAGGTTGTGTTTTTGCAAGGCAGCTCAGTGAAGCCTTGGGGACAGGAATGGTGGAGTCTACAGAGGCCAGACCAGCCAATAAAGGGCAATGTTCTGGGCAACCAAGCCCTTCTGATCCCAGACCCCACCTCTCTCAGGTGGCTCCTTTCGGGAAGCTGGGCAGGTCAGGTGATTGGGACCAGAACAGTGGGACCAGGGATGCAGCTCAGCCAGGGCATTCCTCCAAGGTTGTGAGAAGGTTGCTTTGATTCTGGGTTAAATGGTGCTGACAGTTCCTTCTTGGAGGGCCTTACAGGACTGCCACAGTGGGTGTGAAGGTGCCTGGCCATTTCCCATGTGCACCTGGGGCGGGTGGTTTGCTGCTGTTGATGAAAGTGGTGGGAGGGGCTGGCTGGTGGCCTCAGGGATCAAAAGGACCTGGAAAGACTCCCAGAGTGAACGATGAGGAGGCCGAGAGGAAAGGGAACAGAGTGTTCCAAGTGGTGTGGGCCAGCAGAGGGCCTGCTCATCCTGACATCTGGCTTTGATTAAAGTCATCGTCAGATTTGGTTGTTTGTTAAAGCAAAAGTCAAGGACTCTGAGAAACCATGACAGGCTCAAGTCCAGTGATAATAGAGCAGAACTGCTGGTGTTTAGTTAGTGACACCTCCTGACTAAGGAATTCCAATCAGGCCTCAGTGCAGCAGAGCACCTCCTCCTCCCAACCCCACAGCACACAGGCTCCCAACGCCAGCCACGTGCTGGGGGGGTGCTTGCTGCTGCCCAGGGAAGGGAGGGAAACATCTGTTTCAAGATTCTACCTGGAAAAATAAAATAGGCAAAACTTATATTAGAAAGGACTGGGGGAAATGTTTACAACATCTGTATAAAAAGCTAAAATTCTTACAACATAAAACCTTTTATAAATGAGGACCCCACCCATTAAAACAATAACCCATTGACCGAAGAAGTAAAGCTGGCATTGAACATATGAAAAAGTTCAATCTCCTTTGAATCAAAGAATAAACACTCATATGCAGAGGAACAGGTAGGGGTGGCCGGTGTTCCTCTCTTTGTGGGCAGCCTCCGGGCCCCACTCTGGTGGCTGTGCAGGGTTGCCTGTTTGGGCCACACACCCCTCCTTAACTCCTTCCTCTCTCCCTCCCAAACCGTCTCCCCACGGTGAACAACCTAGCGCATTGGACACGATGTTTCTGTTCTGGAACACACAACAAGATGGAACCTAGTCTTGCTTCATGACAGACTCGCATCACTGCTTCGTGTGAGTCTCACTTTTAATAACACCATTAAACTTGGGGAACCGCCATCCACAGAGAGAACCTGACCATGCCTCTGGCTTCCTCTGCCCAGGCAGCTGCCAGTCATTCTCTGACTTACCCTTTCATCCCTTTGAACTCATATGTATATAGTGCATTTGTATTAATTTTATTAAAAGACTATCACATATTTATTTGTATGGGACTTGGAGGTAGAGGACATATTCCAGAGGTAGCAGAGCGGTGGTGAGGGTGTGAGGAAGGAATCTGGATATCTCCCACGTTTCAGCCTTAGGTGGCTCAGTGGTTGTTGGTGCCATTCAGTTAGGTAGACACAAGAGAGGAGAAGAGGCTGGTGGGAAGGTGATGGACTCAGTTCTGGGTGAAGCAATGATTTAAACTAATATTTACTGAGCGCCTACTATGTTCTGGGCGGTCTTCGTAGGGCTTGAAGTGCTTCACACGAATTATCATATTTAAGCCTCAAAAGAACCCCATAAGTAGGCACTATTCATTATCATGATCATTTTAAAGATGAGGAGATTGAGGGATGGAAAAGTTTAGTAGTTTCTATCGACATGATGGATCACTCCTTTCTGCTACCAACCTGAAAATACTGGATAACATATTAAAATATTAAATATAAAAGAAAATATTGATATAAAGCTATACTTATAAATAAAATGCTGTAAATAAAAGCAAAGGGACCCTCTCAGGTGATGGAAGTAAAGAAGGCTCAAAGCC